GCCCCGACCCTGTGCTGGGTGGGAGCCCAGCGCGCACTGGGCCCGGGGAGATGGAGTCTGCGCGCGCCCCTCCCGCGTTCCCACTGCTTCCCGGCCATAGGGAGAGCGGCGCTTGGGCACCTTCATGGCCGAAGCCCACTCATGCTTCCCTCGGCGGATGTTGCTGCGCAGTAGGCCTAGCGTCGCCTTGTTCTGCGCCGTCTTCTCCTTAATCCCCTGGACCTGGAGTGCCCGACATTGCTCTTTGGGCAATGGAGGAGACAGGGTGGCCGGGTTGTGGGTCCAGGGTCTGGCCCTGTTTTCGAGGCCAGGAGGACCAGCCTCGGCTCCCGCTGCTCTTCCCCCTTGCCTGGGGTAGATGTGCACCCCACTGCTCCCCAGGGCTCTCAGTGGAGGAGATGCCGGCAGGGCAGTGAGGCCTAAGTGGTCCCCTCCTGCCCCTCCAGCCCTGGTTCCTCTTGTACCCACACATCCCTTCAAAGCCCCCCCTTCCCAGGGCAGTCCCCAGGGCTGCGTGTGGGCAGTAGGATGCCCAGCCATCTGCCCCACCGTGTCCTGTTGTTGAACCTGAAAGACCTGGCATCAGAAGCCCCTGATGGGGTGGCAGGGGGCGGGGTCCCCAGCATGGGGCTCACCCTGGAGCCGAGTGATGGTCTTCAGCTCCTGTATCTGTCCCTCCACGTTTGCCTCTCTGTGAACCTTCATGGTGGCCCACAGGGTCTCTGGGAGGCCCTGTGCACCTCTCACCTTCCCCTGCTCAGCAGAGTTGAGAGGCAGATTGTCCCTAGAATTTTGGCCCATTGTGATCGGACCAGGTTCTCTAGGCCAGGAACCCAGGATTCCGGTCCCCTGGGGCCTCGGCTTGCCTCTGGCTATTTGAATGTGGAGTAGGCTGAGAGGTGGCCTGAGGCTTCGCAGGAGCTCTGCTGGGGCCCGGGCACCTCTCCTTGGTGGTGGTGATTTGTGATGGCTCTGATGGGTGCCCTGCACTTTCCGCATTCCCTCCTGTGCCTCACCAGTTACACAGAGCACTGGGCGGAGCCTCCCCAGCAGGTCTTTGCTTTGCAGGCCTTTATTTCCCCACGCACACCCCAGTTCAAAGTCTGCATCCCGGGTGACCAGGCTCACACCCACAGTCCTACACCTGGACATCTCTCCACTCTTCCTCCTGACCTCCACCGCTTCAGCACCCCTGGGCCGAAATGCAGAAACTTCTCACCCCAGGAGGGGTTCATGAGATGAGCAACTCCCCGCAACCTGCTCTGGGCACCCTGCCAGGCTGCTGTGCCGGCTCCAGGGACAGAGCCAAGCTGGTTAAGGCCTCTCCTTTCCGAGTGAAGAGGTGGGCTTTCCCATGTCCCCACAGTATCCCCTGGGCTTGTGTTCTAACCGCCTCTTCAGCCAGATGATGGGCACCTGTTCAAGGCCTTGTCTCCAATCAGCCACATTCTGGGCCTGGGGGTTGGGATCGGGGCCCCACCAGATGGCGGAGCACACTGCCAGATGTGGACACACTCATCACAGACTGCTTCCTCCCTGCTCCCTTCCCAGTCGGTCTGGAGCCCTGAGTGCATGCCTGCCACCTCGGCCCAGGCCCCGCCCTCCAGGGACTGGAACTGCTGTGGGCGTGGTCTGCCCACCCCCCTTCGCTCTGCTCTCGGGGACCCAGCTGGGGGCCTGGGTGAGCAGAGCCTACCTGCTGATCCCTTATTATTGGCTTCTCTTTCTCCTGCAGATATAGAATCGAGTTTTAGTGGAATGACAGATGGCAGTACAGATGAAGCCTGCCTTCCTGGTTGTCTTTATGGTAAAGGGGTGACAAGACTTAGTTTAGGCTCATAGTGTATAAGCAGGAGTGGTGATTGAACTGCCCTCTTCCTCCTTTCTTCTTCTTTAGATCCCTTATTTGGCTTCTCTTTCTCCTGCAGATATAGAATCAAGTTTTAGTGGAATGACAGATGGCAGTACAGATGAAGCCTGCCTTCCTGGTTGTCTTTATGGTAAAGGGGTGACAAGACTTAGTTTAGGCTCATAGTGTATAAGCAGGAGTGGTGATTGAACTGCCCTCTTCCTCCTTTCTTCTTCTTTTTGGTACCAGAGATTGAATTCGGGACCTTGGGCTTGAGAGGCAGGCAGCAGAATCACTGAGCTAAATCCCTGGCTCTCTTCTTCCTATTAAATGGAATGCAGAAACAATGGTTGGAGCTGGTGCAGCCATTTGGAGCCATGAGGTGGATTTGGGGTGGGCCCCATCACAGTGAAGAACAGTCTGAGAGGACACCCGTGGCCGACTGCTGTGGTTTGATCATGGTCTGTTCTCTGTGCTGGGGTCTAATTCCCACCGGGAGTATCAAAGTGGAAACTTACTCTGATAGTGTTTAGGAATGGGAGGTGGTGAGGATTAGATAGGGGCCCCCACCAATAGGGATCCACTATTAAATGAAGAGGGAGAGGCCAGAAGACACAGACACGTGTGCTGTCCCTGGACATGTGATGCCCTCGCCACCTCCAGACTGCCAGCAAGACAGCCATCATGATCTGGGTTGCTGGCTCATGTCTATAATCTCAGCATGAGGAAGGCTGAGGCAAGAGGATTGCAGTGTTGTTGAGGCCAGGGTGACTATGTGAGGCCAGCCTGAACGACACAGTGAGACCCTGTCTCAAAAAAAAAGGCAGCAGCCATCACCAGATGTGGCCCTTGACCTGGACCAGAACCTCGAGGCAAAATGAAGCCCTTTCCTCAATAACTCGCCCAGTCTGTCGTGTGATGTGGGCTACAGAAAGCAGACTATCAAAACCCGGACTCTAGCATGCTAAAGCCCAGTATCATAGACCTACGCTACTGTCCTTCCCTGAGGATGTCCCTTGGAATGCTGGGCAAGGCCGGGCTGAACATGGAGCTGAGGGTGGCCCTTCAGTGCCCCAGGAAGCCAGGGTGTGGACAGCCTCTGGGTCCTCCTTTGGGGCTAGATGCTGTGGGTGTGGCCCACTCAGGGCCTGCCCTGTGGACAGAGCTCTGATGGACCAGCTCTGCCAGTCGCTCTGCCCAGGAGAGAGGGTCTGGGAGAGAAGCAGGTGGATGTGGCACCCATAATTTGGAGCCAGAGCTGGGTTCTGCCTGCCTCAGCCCTCTGTTCTGCCCCTCAGCCCAGTGGGACATCAAAGCCTCCCACCCAGTCCCCTGTGGTCTCACACAGCCCTCAGGGCCAGCAGGGATGTCCAACTCTGAGCTTCCCCTTTGGGAGTGCCGTTGTACCTCCTTTGGTCAGCTGGTGGTCATAAAGGTGACACCTGATCTCCTCTTACCCCCTCGATTGCTTCTCAACTGCTTTGAAGCTCAAGTGGGAAGAAAGGCAAGCTGTTTATTACCCAACACCCCCAGCACCAGCTATGTCCTGGGGAGCAGAAAGGGGGAGGCCACAGCACAGAGAGGGTGCGCAGTTGTGTCCACCACGCACAGCCTGCTGCCTCCACAGTATGTGCAGCAGGACACAGTCAGGTGCTGACCCCAGGAGAATCCCCTGCCCCGCCCTGCCAGGAGCTTCTGAGCTGACCTGGGCAGGTCCTGGGTGTGGGCGGCAGCAGCAGCAACAGCAACAGCAGGTTCGTCAGGCCTCGTGGTGTGTGAGGGGGTCTGGAGTTGGGAGCCCTGAGGACTGTGTTCCTGGATTCTTTCCACCCAGATCCACACCCTGGCTGCAGCTCTCCTATCGGGACTGACCTGCAAGAGGTGAAGGGAGACAGTTGGAGCCATGCCCGTGCCTGCTCAGGGTCCCTGCCCTCATTTCATCACGGCAAAAACTGGGTCCTGTAAGAAGGACAGCAGGCTCAGCATCCATTAGCTGGTGTGGGATTTGGGCCTCTGGGGGACTCCTCCTGGGTGCCCAGCTCCTTGCTCTTTCCTGTGGCCACCCCAGCCCCATGCAGTGCCTACTCCCACTGCAGTCTCTTGAGGATGACAGGCAGGGAGGTCCTGTCCAGCCTGTCAATTAGATCCCCTGGGCTTGAGAGCCGTAAACTCTAGGTGCTGGGGCCTCAGCGTCCTCGCCTCGCTGCTCTCCAGGCCCTCTCACCTGTGCCCATGTCTTTGGAGAGCTTCCCCGTCTCCAGGAAGAGCCAGAGGTTGCTGCATTTCTGCGACTCCACTCTGGTCACCCTGTAGCTGGCCACAGAGCCTGCAACTGGGAACCAGGAAGCGGGAGGCTGAGGCCAGTGCTTCTGGGGCAGGGACTAGGCACAGGCTACTTATAGCAGTCATGACAGATAGGCTTGGGCAGGGCTTCCATGCAAATGTCAGCCCCACGCCAGAGGCAGGGTGCCCCCCCATCCTCAACAGAAACCCACCCAGAAGAGCCAGGCCAGGGCCCAGGTGCCCAACCTGGAGTACCCACCCACGGCCACCAGGATACTCCACTGCATCGGGTAGGGAAACTTTCTCTGGATGAGAATCTGCAGGCCGAAGGTCCCGCCGGTGCCTGCAGGGAGCCAAGGTGCCCTGGTTAGCCTGCGGCAGGCAGGGCTGGCTGGGACCACCTGGGTGCCCTGTGTGCACCTGCGGACAGGGGACTCGGCGCCACCTGCTGGGGAGCGAAGGTGAGACAGGAGGGCGCATTCTCCGGTCCCAGGACACCTGCACGAGCCTACCTGCCACGAAGGTGAGCACGCCCTTCATGAAGGCGTTGGACTGGCACGCAGCGTACTCCCCGATTCCCTAGGATTGGGGGTCAAGGCTCAGTGCCCGTCCCGCCTCCCTCCCCGGCCTCCTGTACCTCCCGGTGCTGGACACTTCCCACCTCCCAACCCCCTCAAGATATGTCAAGAGGGCCCGCTCGCTCCTTCTCCCTGCTCGGGCCAGCTGAGGCCCGGGTGGTCTTCTCACCGGGTGCTTGGCGGCCACTGCATCATCCACACGGGACAAGCCCAAGTTCACCATGGCTGGCCGGGCTTCGGGAGCGCGCCTGCGCAGGAGCTGGCGGAGAGGGGCGGGGCCTGAGCCTGGGCGTGGCCTCAGGCTTCGACGGGATGGG